TGTTATCTTTTTTGGCTTATTCATGTACTTAACTGTTTGACGAAGAACTCGACTAGTTTCAAGCCATGCTAGAGGCTGAAAGAGACTACTGTCCAGGCCCAATGATCATTATTTCCACTTTGAATAATAAAATAAAAAATCTTTATATTTCCCAATTTAAAAGAAATGTACATTTTCAAACAAAATATTATTTTATATTAAGTTGAAGGTCTCCTTCAGAGCCTGCCATCTTTCTTGATATTTTGCTGTATCTAGCCAGCATACTCTAGCCACACGCAGGATATTGTCATCCCATCGTGTGCTCCGTTTTGAATACCCATATCTTAGTAAATTACTGACATCAATTATTGTGACAATGGTAAGTCCTATGTTAATGTAATGTGAACTAAAAATTATGATCTCATCTAAAATTCCAGTTTTGTACATTACAGATAAAAAAAATTAAGTTTTAATAAACACAATAGACCAGTTCTTAATTATATTTGTACAACTTGTAAACATCAATATAAAAACTGTATATGTGTTTCCCCACTCGTGTCATTTTATACATCTTACTACATAAAATAATATCGTGCCTCTTATGCGCCTTTTATCTTAAGTGTGTGAGAGCTATGCTTCGGCACGAATGGGCCGGCTCGACCGCAGTGATACCACGGCCTCACAGAAAACCGACGTGAAGCAACGCTTGCGTTGTGTTTCGTCGTGTGGGTGAGGTTACCGGAGGCCTAATTACCCTCACCTTCCCCAATCTCCCTAATGCCTAAATTCCCAATGATCCTTAAACTCCAAATCCCCAAAAGGCTGGTAACGCACTTGTAACGCCTCTGGTGTTTCAGGTGTCCATGGGCGATGCCGATTGCTTACCATCAGGTGATTCGTCTGCTCGTTTACCAGCCTATGCCATAAAAAAAATGCCCGAAGGGGTATGCAGAGGTGCACATTATAGCTCTTATTGCCACTATACAGTTTAACACTCACTTTTCCCTTTACGTTATGAGTAATAGGGGTGAGCCTATTGCCATATACCGGGCACAATTTCAAACCCCGTGCTACTACTGAGATTTTTTTAAATCTTTTAAAATCCCAGTATATAATAAAAATTGCCCAACCCGGGAACCGTACCCGAGACTCCTTGCCCGGCCGTCGCACTTGCGACCACTCGGCTAACGAGGGCAGTCCCTCTTATTAATATTATAAAGAATATACAACCTTCAAGAAAAGAGTGTATTAAAAGGCCTGGCAACGCACCTGTGACTCCTCTGGTGTACCGTGTGTCCATTGGCGGCGCTGATCGCTTACCATCAGGTACCAAAGGGTTAAGGGGCGAAAATCATCGATTGACTGCTCCCGCCTGGGTGAGGCGGGAGGGAGTGTCAGACTCTTATTAACTAAAAACCACCCCGTTCCTACTCCTGTACGTCGAGCCGGAACCCCGGTAACCGGTTAGGTTCTCCGCGACTACATTATGGTCTAGAATAACATATAGGCTACTTTGTATCCCACGGGAACGCAGGCGAAGCCGCTGGCAGAAGCTAGTCAAGTGGTCTGAGACCTTTGTTTTACGTTTAATTTAAAGTAATCGAAACGAAACCCCATTCGGCGCTGATTGGTTGATTTATTGGAGCCGACTAATGAAAGCACCGAACGCGGTCTCGTTTCGTACCTACAAAATTTCTGAAGTAGGTACTGCAATAACTGAAAAAGGTTACAGATTCAATACACAGGTATAACAATAGATAGTACATTTTTTTAAGCGTGGAAAATCATTCAATGACTTCTGCCGCCTGGGTGAGGCGGGAGGGAGTGTCAGACTCTTACTGACTGAAAACCACTCCTGCACTTCGAGCTGGAGCTGTCTGGGCTTCTATTGGGCCCCATCTGTAGTGGTCTGATGGCTCTTTGAGGCGCGCGCGGAACGCGACGCAACGTTCGCTCAGGGTGCTTACTCTTGAAAATAAAATCTCAATAATTATTCAATTACAAAACTATATAACCCTTATCTGTAGCTGAAATATCATTCAGGGTACGGAATATCAAACCTAACTCAATACAATTTATTGCATTCAATATCCACGCAATACGGATGCAATGGGCGCTAGCGTTGTAATTCAAGAGAACGAAAGTTCACAATAACAATGTCGATCGATCGGAAGTAGATTCACGAGTAAGCACCCAGGTCTGGTTCTGGTCGAGCGGCAAGTTACCCATGCTCGCCGTCCGCAGGTCCGTACTTACGGTGGCCGGAGATCGTCAACAATAGTACCTATATAGGCGGAAATGGTTCCTTATCAATGTCAATAACCTATAGTCCACTGCAGAATAATGGGTCTGGGTAAAGTAAATAAATAGTGCCTGGTATGTGGCAATAGACTCACTCTCACCCCCTGTTACATGGGACTCATAACTGGTGAACAGTGGGTGTATATATGTATATATTATTTATTTATTTATTTATTTAAAGCTTCATGCACAAAATGTACACAAGGTGGACTTAATGCCGCAGGCATTCTCTCCCAGTCTGACCTTTGGGTGATGCAGAGAAGAGTTAAGGGTGTGAGCAAGAAGCAAGCAATTATTTAATAGAGCAAATAAAATAGATACACTTACATATTTCAGAGATAAACATAAATACTTAAACATAATTATAATATATATACCTACACACGAGTACAACACAATACACATGAATGCATTCATACACATATTATACATATATACTTACATACATACATAAATACATACATACATACATACATACATACATACATATATACAGACATACATACATAAATATAGACTGTGAGTAATTAGCGTGATGATTCAGCCACCCTCTCCAAGAGAAGTTCACGCACTTTCTGCTTAAATGATAGACGAGTCGACACCATCCTGACATCCGGGGGGAGCGCATTCCACAGCAAAATTGCCTGTACGAAAAAGGAAGAATGAAAGAAGTCAGTGCGATGAGTGGGACATTGAAGAAGACGGTTATGAGAAGAACGAAGGTTTTTGCTGTGGTTTGCGCATAGATATTGAAAATAAGGGGAAAGATAACTGGGCAAAGAAGGTGAACAAAGAAAGGAGAATAGGGTGGTTAGCGCCCTTTGCTCCCTGCGCTGGCGTATGGGCAGCCACTTTAGTTGCATCCGATGTGCAGAAACATGATCATATTTACGCAGGTTGAAAACGAATCGAATGCAGTTATTCAGAAGTCGGTCAAGTTTGTTGAGGAAATCTGCATTCAGGTCGTAGTAGCACACATCAGCATAATCAATAATAGGGAGAACCAACGCCTGCACCAACATAGCCTTCGTAGTAGGAGGAAGTAAGTTCTTAGCGCGATACAGAGCCCGCAAAGATCCAGTAACCTTTTTGCATACGCTGGTGACCTGAGCATGCCACTTCAGACTCTTATCCATGTGCAGGCCCAAGTTTTTCACCTCACTACTAAACGGGATTACCGCACCATCGAAGACCACGGCCGGCAAGGACACCATGTCAACTCCATTCAGCGTG